CAATTGCTCATTGAACTGTTAAAATTTCATTTGAGACAGAGAGTTTTATGAAGCAAGGATATCAAAGGATATGGGCCCAAGGCAGGCATGTGGAGTTCGGCCACAGATCAGCCATGATCTTATTGAATGGCAAACCAAGCTGGAGGGGCTGAATAGTTTTACACCTGTTCCTATGTTCCTAACTGAGCTTAACACGTTAGGTGGAAACACTTAATAGCTTCTTCTTGGAAATATCATACACCTGAGCTTAAATATACTCAGCTTCACGTAGCCTCTTCGGCATTTTATCCCAAAAATTCCAGTCTGGGACTACCACTAATTCCTTCCACTGAGCTTATCTAGTTTTACTCTATTCTCCCGTTCTCAGGAGCACGGCTATATGAAACCATCACCAAACCAGGACTTCACAGAACTGCCTCAAAGCAAAGCTGAAAAACATCTCTTTTAGCTATGGGTGTTTCCCAAAGCTTGAAACAAAAACCCAAGTTTAGACATTTCTAACCAACCTTAAAAGCATCAGGATTCACCATGCTATGTTGTGATGTCCTAAGGTAAACAAAAATCCATGAGCACTGCCAAAGCAGCTTTTGCAACAGTTTTTAAATAAGTCACCATGGCTACAGAAATACTTACAAGATAATTGTTAACTTCAGGTGCGTAGAAAATGTATAGATATAAATAAGACAGTTTATATCATAATACATGTGGCACACGTTGCAGGATAGCTTGGAGAATGTCAAATGTAAACATCAAAGAAAGATTTGTTGTAATTTTGTGTTAAGGTTTAAAGCTGGGGTGGTGATAAAGGATTGCTTTTCAGACTGGAAACCTGTGATCAGTGGTGTGCTGCAAGGATTGGTGCTGGTTGCACTACTTTTTGTCATTTATATAAACGATTTGGATGTGAATATAGGAGGTATGGTTAGTAAGTTTGCAGATGACATCAAAATTGGTGGTGTACTAGACAGCAAATAAGGTTACATCAGAGTACAATGGTGCCTTAATCAGATGGACCAAGGAGTGGCGGATGGAGTTTAATTTAGATAAATGTGGGCTGCTGCATTTTGGAAAGGCAAATCAGGGCTGGCCTTATACACTTAATGGTAAGATCCTCGGGAGTGTTGCCAAACAAAGACTTTGAAGTGCAGGTCCATAGTTCCTTTAAAGTGGAGTTGCAAGTAGACAGGATAATGAAGAAGGCATTTGGTAAACTTGCCTTTATTGGTTAGTGCATTGAGTGTAGGAGTTGGGAGGTCATGTTGTGGCTGTACAGGACATTGGTTAGCCACTTTTGGAATACTGTGTTCAATTCTGGTCTCCCTGCTACAGGAAGGATGTCATCAAACTTAAAAGGTTCAGAAAAGACTTACAAGGATATTGCCAGCATTGTAGGTTTTGAGCTATTGGGAGAGACTGAACAGACTGGGGCTGTTTTCCCTGGAGCATCGGAGGCTGAAGGGAGACCTTATGGAGGTTTATAAAATTATGAGGGGCATGGATAGGGTGAATAGTTAAGGTCTTTTCCATAGGGAAGGGAAGTCTAAAACAAGAGGGCGTAGGTTTAAGATGAGAGGGGAAAAGACTGAACGAAGGACCTGAGTGGTAACTTTTTCACGCAGAAGGTGGTGCATGTATGGAATCAGCTGCCAGAGAAAGTGGGAACAATACAAAACTTAAAAGGCATCTGAACAGGTAGATGAATAGGAGGGGTTTACTGGATCAGTTTAGAATGTCTGGTCAGCATAGACGAGTTGGACCCCTCGATGACTCTACAGACTTTTCTGGCTTCTAAATTCAACAAGTAAAATGGGCACAATGCTTATGAAAACCACACATCATTTGTCTACAAAAAGCTCTGGAAAATGGGCTAACCTGTTAAATTACAGGAAACAACCTACAGAAACAATTCTGTATAAATCACCATGTGCTTGCCAACTTCATAGATTCCATGTAAAACTGTACTGCTGTATTAAGAAACTTTCAATGCAGTGAAATACTTCACACCATAGTTTTAAATGTGAGCTCATGATACAGAAATGGAGATATTAAAATCTAACTTTAGCCTTCCTACTTCATCTGGAAGAATGAACTGAAACACATGATAGTCTGTGTGTTTGCAGAAGTCACCGCATGATCAATCAGATCACAGCAGGACACAATGACTCTTGTATTAACCTGGTGAGCCAATTTAGGCCTTTGAGACACAAACAGGGTCACGCACTTGACAATAATTAAAGCTGTTAAGATTCCTACAGTTCTACAAGATACAGCTACAGCTCCAAGATCAACTATGAAATAGAAATCAGCCGCTGCCTTGAATTTAACAAGACAATGTTTTATACCCTCTGTTCCTAAGTTATTCTGCAGTCATTTGAGACCATAACAAGCAACAAACAGATTTTTTTGCCTCTCCTGATCTAAGAAAAATCAGGAACTTGCAGCACAGGTCGCATTCCATCAATTTCTGTTGCAACCTATTTGTGTAGCGTTCTCTTTTGGCAATCGTAATCTTGCTTTGGAAGATCACCAACACTGGTAGGGCATATTCATGGGATTACAGATGCAGTCAAAATCATTGAAGATGCTAGACTGCAGTCAGAACCAAAATTTCCCATAACCCGTCTTCTTTACTTTGCAATCAAATGGGGGTAAAGCCCATGATCCAATTTAAAGACTCCTGAAAGAAAATGTAGTGAGATGGAAAGAATGAGCAATCACCAAGAATCCAAGTTGAATTTTATAAAGCAACGATATCTGTTGAACTGACAGGAATCCAAAAATATTGTTTCACCATATTCAGTGTGAATTCATCTTCTTTCATTGCAGTCATTGCTCACAAAGATGTCATCTTCACCGACATTGATGAAACAAACAAGATACAGGGTCACAAATAACAATTGTGCATCAGGTCATAAAAATAACTGATGCTATTGGAGAGAGGTTGGTGTTACATAATTTTAATCTTGATGAACATGGTTCTTGTTGACAAAGCAAAGCCAAAAAGTAATGTTGAAAATATATAGCAGGCCTGGTCAAAACTGAAAGGAAAAGGAGAAAAATTTTGGCTTGACACTGTTACAATGGAAAATTGTAAGAAGAAAGGCCCATCAAACTATCCAACATTAATAAATGAAATTAGTTACAGAAAAACACCAAGAACACAGATAACTTATCTAAGTTGAAAAAAGGCAGCCAGTGGATTTAGAGGACCTGAAAAATCTGGACAGCAGTGTCAAGCTTTGGAGAATATGCTTAAGTCATTTAAATCTGGTTGTGAAAGATGGAACAGAAAAACAGAAATGGATTGGAAGGTTGGCAAAATTGAAAGCAAAAGGGTTGAACACTAATGTTGGATTCCAACAGATTAAGCTTCAGACTGTTAGGGCCTCAGGTTATCCCACAATAATCCATGCAAAATTATCACCTCACATTTACTTGTTATTGTCTCAAACACTGCTGCCCAACCATTTCATTTCAGTCCATTCTCCTGTCTTCCTTTCTTTCAGTTCATTGGAACAGAGGAATTAGGAACAGGAGTAGGCAATCAAGCCCTTCAAGGCCGGTCTGCCATTTTACGCAATCATGGCTCCTTTTAGCCTGGTCTCAACTCCTTCTCCTACCTGCTCCTCGTACCCCTTTCGCACTTTTCATCAGAAACACATCTATTTCTTTCTTGAAACTGTTCATTTATTCTGCCTCCACTAAACTCTGGGGCAGCGAGTTCCACAGATTCACAACCTTCTTGAGAGAAGTAGTTTCTCATCTGAGTTTTGAACCTACCCCCCGCCTCACCCTATATCTCTGACCTTTTGTTCGAGACTATCCCATAAAGGGGAACATCCGTTCAATGTCCACTTTTTCAATCTGTTTAGCATTTTCTACACCTCAATCAGATCCCTTCTCATTCTTCTGAACTCAAGCAAGTACAAGCCCAAGCTATTCAACCACTTCTCATTTAACAGCCCTTTCATCCCTGGAATCAATCTGGTGAATCTCCTCCGAACTGCTTCTCATGCCACCATATCCTTTCAAAACTGGACACAATACTCCAGGTGTGGTCTCATCAACACCTTATACAATTGTAACAACACTTACTTGTTATAATCCAGTCTTTTTACAATAAATACCAGGATTCCATTTGCCTTTCTTGTTGTAGGCTGGACCTGCATGTCCACTTCCCCTGATTCATGCACAAAGATGCCCATATCCCTCTTCACTGACGCACTTGGAATCTGCCTCCCAATTAAATAATAATTTGACCTTTTATTTTTCTGACTAAAAGGGACATTTTCACACAGAAGGTGGCTCATGTGTGGAATGAACTGCCAGAGGAATTGGTAGATGCAGGTACAGTTACAACATTTAAAAGACATTTGGACAGGTACATGAATAGGAAAGGTTTAAGAGGGATATGGGCCAAACTCAGACAAATGGGCTAAGTTTAGTTTGGGAAAACATGGACAGGTTGGACCAAAGGGTCTGTTTCCGTGCTGTATGACTCAATGACTCTGACAGCCTCACCCTTATCCATATTATACTGCATCTGCCACATTCTGGTCCATTCTCCTAGCGCATTAGTATCCATCTGTAACTCTTTCTCTCCTCCTCACAGTCTGCTTTCCCACCTATTTTAGTATTATCTGTCAATTTTAGAATAGAACAGAATCCTTACTGTGTGTAAACAAGCCACTTGGCCTAACAAGTCCACACCAACTCTCTGAATAGCATCCTACCCAGACTCACCCCCTTCACTCCCCTACCCTATCCCTGTAACTCTGCATTTCCTATGGCTAACCTACACATCCCTGGACACAATGGGCAATTTAGCATGGTCAATTAACCTAACCTGCACATCTTTGGACTGTGGGAGGAAACAGGAACACCCAGAGGAAACTCACACAGACACAGGAAGAATGTGGAAACTCCACACAGGCAGTCGCCCGAGGCAGGAATTGAAACCTGGTGCTGTGAGGCAGCAGTGCTAACCACTGAGCCACCGTGCCACCCCAAATTTTGCTATGTTACACTCTGTCCTTGCTTGCAGATTATTTACATACATTGGAAATAGTTGAGGTGTGAGAACTGAACCCTGCAGCACCTCACTGGTTACAGTTCGCCATCCAGAGAAGGGACTATTTATCCCGATCTTCTGCTTTCCGTCAATCAGCTTTATCCGAACCAATACTCTTCACTCCCTGGGATCTAACCTTCTGGATCAGTCTTTTATACGGCATCCGAGTCAGGAGTGTCTCCATCAAAACATTCCAGCTTTTCAAATAATGGCAATTCTGTATCCACACCAGCATGGTAGCTATCATAGAAGAGTCAATATGTGAAGATTTATAGTCACAAATATGATAAATAATCTTGTACAGGGACCTCTGACAAATTCTTTTTCCAGCATTTGTTCACCAAAGAACTCCTTCACAAACTTGGAGAACACAATTTGTTCAATGAAATCTTAAGTGTTGTACTTCAGCATATAGCAAGAGCTGACAGTTATCAAAATGCTGCAGGCAAACATTAACCATACAGACATTGCTTGAATGGTATATTTCTCACGGACAGCTCATCGCTATAAATCAAAAGTCACAGTTTATGACATGTTCATAAGATTCCCACACAAACAAAAGGAAAAGTCATTGCTTTTCACACTGATGTGACAAAGGGAAAAAGTGGACATTATTTATGGGAGCTTATGGTGAATATCACAATGTAAGATAATTGTACAATGGGCTTAATCTGGAATCTCTCATTCCTGGAGTTGAAGAAACTGGTGAACAGGCCCATATTAGACTCAGGAGAAACACCATCAATGAACCAGAACTTCACGTTGTTGCTTCAAAGATTTTGGTCAGCTTTGGCCAGCAATACTAAAGTAAGTAAAGAAGGGACTCAGGAGCACCAGATACCTTGTTTCGTGATTTTTACAATGAAATGGCAACTTCTCATTTAGAATGTAACCTCAAATTATTTTTATGTTGATTGATTTGTCTTACATTTGGATTGTGATACGCACCCTTATGATTTTCAGTTGAATACCTTCCACTCTTTACGGTCAACTGAAATACCCCATCCAAGAAAAATATGATTTAATAATTTCCCACTGACCTGAAAGGTGTCGACGACCCTATGAAGGAACTCGATGACAAATAGCGGCGGCACCTCACTCTGGATCACAGCCACGAAGAAGATACGATCACGATAGACGCTGATTAAGAAATGATGTGGAGTCGGGATAACCGGGGGCACGTTCTCCGACTCGTTTGCCTTCTCTTGCGCCTCAAAGAAATAATCGCAAACCGACCGGCTCACCACACTCTTCCAATGCTTCTCCAGGAAGATGTCCCCAGAGGAGTTAATGAGGAATAAACTGTGGATCATGATTCCGGAAGTACTCGACCAAGGATGCCTTAGCTCACGGTCCGAGTGGGGCTGTTCCACCCGCAGCCAGCTCTTCGTCGCTCTCAGGGTCACTAACTTCCGCCTGCTGCTCACTTTCCAATCGCTTCCGGGATCCCCTCTTGTCTCATTGGCCAACCCCTTATTAACTCCGCCCCACTTCTACCAACCAAATGATTGGAGAGTTAGAAGCGCACCCTCACTCGGTATCCATTCGACAAGTTTCTGTGCGTCCATTCAATGATCAGTGGTCACAGGAAAGGGAGATAACAA